GGCATTTATTAGTGACTTTTCTCGTACAAACCCATATATATATATATATATATATATATACAAACCCATATATATATATATATATATATATATATATATATATATATATACCTTATAAAGAAAACAATAATAATCCTTTGTATATACACCCTAAATCTAATCATCCTCCATCTATAATTAAGCATATACCTTTATCTATCGAAAAAAGAATAAGTACAAATTCAGCAAATGAGAAGATTTTCTATGAACATATTAATTTCTATAATAAAGCTCTAAAAGATAGTGGCTACAAAGGACCAAAACTAACTTACATAAAATTGAAAATGGAAAGCATAGAAAAAACAGTAGAAAATATTTGTTATATAATTTGGTATACAGCCCCATACAACCAAATGGTAAAGAACAAATTAGGACAAAAATTCCTTGCATTAATCGTTAAACATTTTCCTAAAGATAGTAAACTCAGTACTATTAATCTATTAATAAAAATACACTAAAATTAAGTTACAGATGCACTGAAAACTTAGAAAAGTTGCTAATGCTAATATCGTGAATAAACACTTAAATCAAGACCAAAAAATATAGACAGTATAATAATAAAAAGAGATGAAGATAAACAAAAATTATGTAACTGCAGAAATCCTCATAACTGCCCTCTTAATAATCAATGTTGCACTGAATCATTAGTATACTAATGCAATATCTCATCTATTGAGGATCCAGACAACGTAAAAGTCTACATTGGAGGCACAAGACATGAGTTCAAAAGACGGTTCAACCAACATCAAATTCTTTTAGGATAAATAAACACCGAAATCAGACGTCCCTATCGAAATATTTCTGGCACTTAAAACAATCCAATAAAACACCTACGGTAAAATTGAAATTAATAAAAATAAAGCTAAAAATATGTAGATCATTAAATGACCCATGTCATTTCTGCATACATTAAAAAGTATATATTACTAGGTTTATAAAAATAAATATTTCCTTAATCAAAAAAATGAATTAGCTATTGACATTGTCAAACATTTTCCTTCGATAATATTTAATTAAAAAAAAGATAAATGAAATATACATATTGATATTTGATAATAATTTTAAAATAATTTAAGTAATTCTGTTATCTGTAATTCTTTTAAAAGATGTATAGTCTAGTAGTAATTAAAATTAATAATATTTTAAAATTCTAGTTCAATACGACGTATTCATATACAAACAACTCTTTTAGAAAGAAATCTTTATGTATACAAGTACAAAATTAACGGCGGAACAAAAGTGCCGAAAAACATTTTGTCGTTGGAAAAGACCAGACGACATGCTTTGAACGGATGTCGTCATTCGTTGGAAAATGTACCACTAACCTGCCTTGACTTAACCTCTTTTCAAAAGTAACTCATATTTTGATACAATAGTTGTCAGTGAAAAAGAATAACCTACCGCTTCTTGTTAAAATGATTGGATTTCCCTATATCCATAGGAACTTATATTATGAATTTATGTGCTCATAAAACTCAGTAAATTTCAAAATAAGTTATTACAAAATTAGCTTGTAAATGAAACAGAACTAGGGACTTTAATTTAATTCTATAATTGATTTGAATTTTTGGCTTCAGTCTTTGAAACACGGTAATTCCTGTGTACCGATGGAACCATATTTTTAAATTAGTAAATTTATAATATTTATGCTCTGTAGATTTGCATTGAGCACTGTTTTGTAAAAATAACAATATTAATAAGAACATCGTTTTTATATATCTTACTGCTCCTTCTCTTTATCATTATATATATATATATATATATATATATATATATATATATATATGGTTCTAGTTACGTTTGTATGACATTGCATATATGTTCATCTATATTTATATGAAAAGAAATTAATATTTATATATTTTTATATTTATTTTTTTATTTATATATTCATATATATATATATATATATGTGTGTGTGTGTGTGTGTGTGTGTTTCCTTTCTAGTTTTATATATATGTCATTACACATATGTTCATCTATACTTATGTTAAATTTTATGGCTAATATAAATGCAAAGTTATAAATTTAATCCCGACTCAAGTCCTTTGTTACTAATGCAAATTACAGTAATTTGATTTTGCTTTACGAAATGAAATGAAATTGCGATCATGTATGCAGCCAGCCAATAATTAATGAAATTATTCCTTTTATGACAAGGCTAACCATGAATAAAGTGCATCAAACTCTTAGCGTTGTACATACACACACACATATATCTATGGAAATGTTTACACGTCTGTTAATATTTGATTGAATATTGTTAAGGGATTTACAAAAGGCGAATAAATTACTGGCGTGTAATTTTCATTTATATTTGTCAAGTAGAGTTGAAGATCGACATGTTAATGAATAATATTTAATGAGTGCCATTTTGTATGGAATTCATTTTGGAAGATTGGATTCTAAGTGGAAAAGCCCAGAGCCGGCAGAAGACGACAGAATCGAATATGTTTAGTAATTAGAAGAAGAAGAAGAAGAAGAAGAAGAAGAAGAAGAAGAAGAAGAAGAAGAAGAAAGAATGAGAGAGAGAGAGAAAGAAAGAAAAAGTCAAAAGAGAAGGAAAAAGGAAGAAAGAAAGAAAAAGAAAGAAGGAGAAAGGAAGAAGAAGAGGAGGAGGTGGAGAAAGAAGAAGAAGTAGAAGAAGAAGACTAAAATGGAACAAATAAAACAAAAACAAATATAAAAGAGAATAGTAAGCAATAATCAATAGGGAGCAGGAAAGCCCATTGAGAAAGAAAGAAAGAAAGAAAGAAAGAAAGAAAGAAATGAGAATGTGAAAAAATGAAAATAAAGGAAAAAGAAAGAAAGAAAAAGACAGAAAATCCATAAAAAATAAAGAAAAAACGAAAGAAAGAAATTTAGCAAGAATGTAATTAGTTGAAAATAAAGAAAAAAGAAATTTGATGAGAGAGAAAGAAAGAAATCTGATTAGAAAGAAAGAAAGAAAGTAAGAAATGAGAAAGTCTTCACACGTAAATTGATGATTGTACTTGAGTTTGATTTTATTGTCTTCTGATTTGCAACTTGAAACCAACAGCCATTATATGCAAATGAAATTATCTTTACCAGTCTTGCTAATTTGAATCTTGCACCAACGTGGCGTCCCCTTGAGCCTGCCACTAACTTAAGTCGACCACGCAAGATGAAAAACAACTTCTCAATTCGTACCAACATTAACCACGCGTTACGTGTAATGTTTCAGGTTAATGGTAATCTTTAATGATTGGTGGATTAACGGAACGTCCGGTCTCGTCACTGCATAGATTGACGTCTTCGTTATAGGACAGACTAAAAGAATTGTCAAGCAACGCCAAGCATTCGTCTGCTGTCTGCCTCTCACTGTTTTGACTCAAACAACTGAAATGCAATCATTATAATTCCTTAGTACGAAATGGAGTCGTTGGAATTTGCAAGGATATAAAAGTTTTCTGAATTTCCTTATTCTAAACGTCTTGCCCATATCTATTTTGTAATAGTTGAATATTCTTATAGTATTATGATTCGTAAATCGGTTCACAGTGTTAAACACTGGCGTCAGTCAACATGTTTATATCAATATCTGTCTATATTTCTGAGATGAGGTATTATGTACACTATTTACATTATTCGGACTATTGTCCTATTTTTCTTTTTGCCATAGAGGAGAACATGACTAAAGATTGTGTGTACGTCATCACGTGCAGCTGCGTAAAGAAACATAAAGGGGAGAGAGGCCACCCCCTTTAAGGTAAGGTTTCAAGAACATCAGAATGCTGAAACACGAGGGGAAGTGGAAAAATCAGACGTGGCTGACCACATATGGAGAGAAAGGGAGATCACCGCCCTCTGTGGTATAAGGTTGAGATCATAGACAAAGAACACCATTGGAAAATTCGTAAACTTAAGGAATCAGCACATATGCTAAGCCACAAATATCTTCTGAGCCGACCAAGCATAGAAATGAATACAATATGGGAACCAGTAATAAGGAGTGCCAGAAAACAGCAATAATAAGCATTATGAGCTCTGGTCAAAAAAATGCAATGATAACAACAAAAATTGCAATATGGGCACTGTTAAAAATGATTGCTGAAGACATTAAGTTTATAAGTCCCAGAAATTCAGATGTCCACAAGGACACATGGCAGTTGATAAAGCGGTGGTTAGAATCAGTGACAGGACCCAAAGAGTGTGAGTTCAATACCCGGTTAAGGCAGTGGAGAACTTGGAGAGGGGAATTAACAGGAGATAACTGATAACTGACATCCATTAGCCATGGCACGTGGAACTAGAACAGTCTACCCCAGTGAGCGAAATAAAGGGTTCACTTCGACATTCCAACCGACTGAAGAAGGCCGGAGCGTACAATGGGCGAAACGTTGTGATAAATATGGGAACAAAGATAAGGACAATAGCCCGAATAATGTCAATAATGTTTATATCAACTGTTGCACACTCCTTCTCTTCTGGGGAGGACTTAGCCACTGCGCCAAATAAGCAAAATGTTATATAGCCTCCTCGCTCTGGTGGTCCCTTAGTTGACGATCTTAAGGCGATCATAATGAAGTGGTCTTTTTCTCTCTTTTTTCTTTCTTCTCTCGGCCGGGTGATCGCTAGTTGTTTTTTTTTTGGGGGGGTGGGTCGGAGGTAAAATGAGAACTTCAACGAAAGTGATTTTAAACTTATCCATTTTGTTAAACACTCACGTATCACTGAAGAGCAATGACACGGGACACGAAATAACCACATCTATTATTTAACACAACCGCCAGAACAAAAAAGGTATTTAACGAGTTTTGATATATCGCACTTTGTGAGGAAGTGTAGTCTCGGAGGTTACCAGACGATTAGAATTTGGTCTCAGTTATTTTACTACGTAAAAATATATTTTAATAAATTTAACAATAATTATAGCACTTTTGAGGGGTAGTGTTGGTTGGTTGATTTTGTTTGGCGGTTAATCAACCTCTGTGAGTTATTTAATGTCAAAATCTAAATATTTTGAACGTATTGGGTTGGTGCATAATTATCAGGCGTTTTTGAATAATAATATTCATTATGAAAAAGGAAACATAACATTTCAACAATAACATTTTAAAATGATTATTCAGGAACGTATGAATACCGACACGCATTTTTATAACGTGAAAATGAAATAATATTTTTATAAAAAAAAAAGTAAACAAAACAGCAATCTTTATTAACAAATAACACGCCTACAAAAACGCCTGATAATTATGCACCAACCCAATAATTTTATGCTTTCAACTACAGATATCATGTACATAATTTTATACTTTAAGTTAATGTTAATATATATATATATATATATATATATATATATATATATATATATATATATATATATATATATATTGTAGATTATATAAGATGTTGGTAATTTTACCTTAAAATGTATTTTTATATTTTAGTGTTGCATTGATTATCATTTTTCTATAAAAATGTATTTTTGGTCATTTTATTATTAAAATGTACTGTTTATTTTTGTTTGGGGGTCCACAACTTTCCCTTAGATGGGACACTAACAAGTGCTACTACACGGGTCAGGGTGGACCTGGGAATGATAGCAATTAAGAGGTGGTTCCATGCTCCTCAAAACCACCGATCTCTCTTGCTGCCGAGTGTAGTTCATTATCATGCCTAGGATGATGGCGGTTAATGAAAAGAGGGGATTAGTCGAGTCTAAGTATATTAATCGAGTACACAGACGTAAGGTGAAGTAACGGTTGAAATGTGTAGGACTCTTGACAAACGGTTCCGCTGAAAGGTGTTACTGGAAATAATCCTGGCTCAAAATTAAGCGTATTGTTTTAGAAACTTTCGCTAGCAGGGAATCTTTAAGGATCATTATCAATGATCAAAAAAAAAAAAAGGTTTCGGACGAATGTGGATCTGTAGATCTTAACGAGGAGCATACTTCTTCGAGCCTCGTCGGCTGGCACTACTGAACCACACACAAAAAAAGGACTATACCGAATAATAGAAACAACTCGAGAACTTTCAAGAGCAGAAACAATGAAAATGTATAGCACATGTATCTTGAAGAGTAAATAATGACATAATCAAGATGTTGACAGTCCTCACTGCTTCAGAAAATAATGTTAAGAAGGACTCTCCCCGCATAAATACTGGAAAGGGTGATAACAGAAACTGGACATGTCAAAAATATTTTCTTGAAAAAAATTGTCTTAAATCATAACTTTTAACTTTTAACATTGGCTGCTCGGTCAATGAATGCCGAAAATTTTCTTTATAAGGAGACTGTTTATATTTCTGAGATGAGGTATTATGTACACCTTACATTATTCGGACTATTGTCCTCATCTTTGTCGCCATATTTATCACAACGTTTCGGCCGTTGTACGCTCCGGCCTTCTTCAGGTGGTTGGAATGTCGAACTGAACCCTTTATTTCGCTCTAGACTGTTCTAGATAGAGCATATTGATGTGTTGTAATGGTTAGCAAGCTTTTGCACAAGAACAATTACGACTGAATAATTAGTTCGATCCTCACTGGGTGCCCCGTGCAATGTCTAAGATCCGCTTAGAAAATCGCCTCAATCAGCCTAAAGCCTAATACCAGTTTCTTTCAGTTTATTATTATTATTATTATTTGTGTATGTTATGTTTCCTGTTTTTGTATTCTGTAGAGCCGAATCCAACCTATGGTCCTTTGGCCCCTATATGAGAATTATCATTTGACTGATAGCACTTTTCTTAGTATATGGGATATTTCTAGTAGAGCGATCTTCTGGGCAACTTGTATGTTGATGTCACCTGGGACACTGTTAGTAAAATTGTTCATTCCTTTTCTCACTAGGTCCAGTGCTCCGATTACTATTGGTACAGTCTCAGTCTTCATTCCCCACATACAGTTTTATTATTATTATTATTATTATTATTATTATTGTTGTTGTTGTTGTTGTTGTTGTTGTTCTTGTTCTTATTATCATTATTATTAAATGCTTTTCGAAACTTGGAGAAAATTAAATTTCAGTGATCAAATTTGCTTTCGTCATTTAAAGAATCTTGCGGAAGACTAGCAGTCCTCAAATTCGAATGAGAAACGTTGATTAAAAATTGTTTTCTTTTCATAAGTGAAACGTTATAGCGCAGTGCTTCATTGAGTTACACCAAACAAACACGGGCATCATCAGATTACGTTTCTCCTGTTACGAAAATCATCTTTTAATTGATGAAAATAATGAATTCAATTTGGAGATCAAGTTCTCCTTTAATTCGTTAAGGATGAGATTCGAAAAATATTTCAATACAATTAGATAAACTGCATTAACAATGTTTTATATATTTATAAGTACAGCGTGCGATGTGTAAATTGTTGCGATTTTATATTTTTAATTTCGCATATGCACCTGGTTTGTTTTTGATTTTGTCGACTGCACAGTATAGTAGGGTCAGTTGGGCACCGTCTGTGAGAAAAAAGGAGCACCATCACGCAATTTATTTCACCAGAAATTTGGAAACGGCTTGCTGTACTGCTTGTCATTCGCGCCGGATACGAACATTTCAGCATGTTTGGCTGTCAATCTCAGGACAGTGCAGAGGATTCGAAAAGAGTTAGATGAGTCTGATGTTGATTACCAAGGTGTTTGGAGCGACCAGAAGTTATGCTTCCATTCATCTTTCCATAGGGCCTCATATTAGACACGGAGGACTACATCAAGGGCCTTGAAGAGCTAACACTGCTCTGGATTAAGAGGGTGGTTACTGGAAGACAATATGTCTGGCAACAAAACTCTGCAACATGCCACGCAAGCAGAAGAACACAGTCATGATTGTCAGACAATTTCTACGACTGAATCACTCCTTACATGTGGCTATCTAACTCCCCAGACTGATACTCCACCCCGATTATAATTGAGGCGAAAACAAAATTCCTTGTAACACCAAAGATGAACTTAGGGAAAGGATTATGGTAGCATTCACCAAATAAAACAAGGAGACCATCCAGAAAAGATGCAAGAGATTCGTTTGGAGGCCGTTGTTGAAGCCAAAGACGATTTTATTGAATAAATTTAGTCTTTAGTATATCAAGATTTTTTTTGTGTAAATATGTTTGTAAAAATAAGATATCAGCCTTATTTTTATGTTTGCGTAATTTAGACGACAATATATCCATCGAACCCCGGGCACCTCGAGGCGGTGTAATGGTTAGCAAGCTCGGCTCGCTAGAACAATTACGACTGAATAGTGAGTTCGATCCTCACTGGGTACCGCCTTGTGCCACATCTAAGCTACGCTTAATCGCTATATCCACCGTACCCTGCATGTATATATCTATATATAGATGCACATACAAATACACAAATGCTGGATATATTGTCGTCTAAATGGATATATATATATATATATATATATATATATGTGTGTGTGAACATTAAAGTCAACACTCAGAGGTGATATACTGTTTTCGAGATAAACGCCATCATCAAGTCTGAAACAGCCTGTCGCCCTGAATGTTGACTTCAATGTTCACTTTATATTTACATGCGCTCTATCTCTGATATTGAGCACTTTATCCCTTAAATGTGCCACGCCTCAAAGCTATAAATCTTCATATATATATATATATATATATATATATAAACGCGTGTGTGTTTTAACTATATATCACAATTTTACACACCACCCACACACAGACACACACTCACACATATATATATATATATATATATATATATATATATATAAACAGAAGATGTCTGCTTGCCTGTCTGTAGATATGCTATTTATGCACGTCCACATTTCACGACCTATTTCGATTAAATTGTACACACATCTTGCAAATTTATCAAAATATGTCACGACCAACTATTCAATCTCCTCTGAGTTTGGCAGAAAAATCGATAAAAATGAAGGTGAGTACGACCTTTAGCAAAAACCAAGGCAAAGTTACACGGGAATAAAAATATTTACTTTGGATGAGCTGGTATACTTTTCACTTCATGCAAAACATCAGCTCATGTTACGAGGTTTATGTAGAATGCTTGATATTTTTCCTGCGACATTAGACTCGCACAAAAATTTGAAAAACCTGAAAAAATAGATTTTTCACGCTAAAAATAAAAACTTGAATAACTTCCACATTTTTATCCGATTTTCTTCAAAAATATCGCAAAAAATTTGCCATCATGAAAGAAATAAGACAGCGTGGTTTTAGTCCTGCTCGCTTTTCCGCGTATAACTAAAAACCACGAAAAACTGTTAAAAAAGCCGGTTTTATGGTCATAACTCCCTGGTTTTCCATCCGATGCTTTCCGAATATGCCATGTAAATTATATATGACACACAAATTGTCTTGCGTGAATGTTTGGCTTAGACTATTTCAGTTAAGTGGAAAAAATCTACGACAAACTAGGTCCAAAATCGGGATTTCCCATTTAGCCTATAGTTTTTTTCATATGATTCCATGCTAAATTGGCATTTGAACAATCTTTGACCCAAAGACTGTTTGAGAAGGATTACTGAAGCGTTAAAAGGGAAAAGTTCCCGAAGAACCTCTTATTAACCGCAGCTTTACAGTAAAAGTGCGAAGAAGTGAGTGTTCATGCGTTTGCACTGGCAATTGTATCTGTTTTTGTTTGATTATTAAATTTGTGAACAATGCCATACCATTTGCAAGTTATTATGGCCATAGAAAATTTACTGAAACATTGAAACAATTTAACCCGGAGCAACAACCACACAAGAAGTCTTTATCGATGGAATTCCTTTATTATATGTGGCTTTGAAAATGACAACACATTCTTTTAAAGCGACCTTTCTCGTTCAACACTTTTTGAGGCTGATTCGTTGGAACGGCAATAATCAAAACGACGAAACTGAAAAAGGTAGTCACGGTTGGGAATTAAGGGGCAAGACTAAAATAAATTTATTACTAAAAACATTGTATATACATATACATATATATATATATATATATATATATATATATATATATATATATATATATATATATTAATAAATACATATATGTGTATACCTACATTTGGTGTGTAAGTTTCGTTGATTTTCCAACTCATCGGACACCAGGTATACATGAGTATATGGTTGCTTATATCTGTCATTTGATTTACGTAACCCTATCCTATATATATATATATATATATATATATATATATATATATACAGGGTGCCCATAAAGTTCGAGTGCACTTTAAATAATTTATAACTTAAATGTGCACACGAACTTTATGGACACTATATATATATATATATATATATATATATATATATATATATGCGTGTGTGTCTATATATTTAACTATTTTGCCCACTAAACCACACGCTCTCCTTCAGTGTGAAAGAATAAGAAAAAAGAAAAATTATTAAGAATTGAGAATATTAAGATAATTTTTCTTACTGATATACAACTGTAAATGCGCAAAAAGCATGTTCTTTAAATTATATTCAAGTAGTTTTTCAAGTATTAAACTATATAAATCTACAAATGTTTTTGTTGTTTGATATAGTTTTATATTTGAAGACATTTTTAAAAACAACTTCAAAAAGACATTGTTTAGCATTGCCAAAACAATGTGTTTTTTTTCTTTTTCTTTTTTAAAATCTCCCTCTTCTCTAAACTATTATTATTATTATTAGAGGCTTTTCAAAACGTGGAGAAAATTACATTTCAGTGATCAAATTTGCGTTCGTCATTTTAAGAATATTGTAGAAGAAAAGCCCTCCTCAAATTCGAATGAGAGACGTTGATTAAAAATTATTTTCTTTTCATAAGGGAAACGTTTTGGTGTTGTATTTCATTGAGTTACACCAAACAAACACGGGCATCATCAGATTACGTTTCTCCTGTTACGAAAATCATCTTTTAATTGATGAAAATAATGAATTTAATTTCGAGATCAAGTTCTCCTTTAATTCGTTAAGAATGAGAATCGAAAAATATTTGATTATAATTTGATAAACTGCATTAGCAATAACGTCTTACCTAGCTATGTTCTATTATCTACCAAAACACAGACACACATATATATATATATATATATATATATATATATATATATATATATATATATATATATATATATATATCATACTTATTATAAAACCAGGTTGTGTGTGTTTGTGTGTGTGTCTGTACGTTTATATATTGGATCGGATTTCCTATATTTTTCAACCGATTTCAACAAAATTTCACTTTTTTTGGCAGGTAGTGTTTCTTATTGTCTTGCACACTTTTTTCTTTATTTTTACATTCAGAATGCTTTAAAAATTCCATTTACAAGACAATTGTTTATAATAAAATTCTACTCAATCGGTAACTCATAACGATTGAAAACAATGCTTTTGTTTGAGTTTGACCAATTCGTAAAAAATAAAACTAATTAAGATATGTGTGTCCATCAACCTTAAACAATAACCTTTGTCAATTTTAATTTTAAGTCTTTATGATGGTCGATAATTGATCTATCTCTTACTGTTACATCCCCGGGCTAGTATATATATATATATATATATATATATATATATATGGTGGAGGCACGGTGAAGTAATGGATAGCAGCTTGGATTGAGGAATAGATTTCAGTCGAATCCATTGCATTCACTTACGTGCTAATACCCTTGAGAAAGGTGTGAATTCTCTTCTTTTCCCTCCAGCTATGGGTAAATAGCAGGACAGACTGGGTTCTATAGCCTTGGATGGCAACTAGTCTAGGAGAAAGACAACACTGAATTCAAAACCAGTGAAGGGTTGTTAGGGTTCCCTGTGGCACGTAGTGCACCAAGTCTTTGTATTCGGCCCTTCAAACAGTGTGGATGCTTCTGCACAAAACCTTCACCACTATAATCAAATCTCACGTGCTGGTGTCGGGCTTTCAGTTTCCTAGGAACTGATCTGCTTGATCCTCATACGTCGAATTCGATGGGAGAGTCGAGAGTATGGTGTACTATATATCACAAATACATCCACACATAAATACATATATACATATGGCTTTGAAAATGACACAAAGCATTCTTTTAAAGGGACATTTTCGCCTAATACTTCTTTAGAAAGATTCGTTGGAACGACAATGATCAAAACCCAAGCAAGGCAGTAAAGCCGCTAAGACACACGGGGTTACTGAGTGTGGAAGAATAAGAAAAAGAGGAAAATTATTAAGGAGGGAGAAAAATAAAAGAAGAATTGTTTTTCTTACTGAAATACATCGAAGAAAGATTCATCCGACACATAAAATATTAAGAAGATAGCACCACATATTTCCGACCTACGAATGTGATTTCTTAAAATCATCCACTGAAGAAATGGAAGAAATTGAAAAACTAACCTTTAAAAAGGCTATAAATGTTGAAAAAAAAAAAAAAAAAAAAAAAGTTGTAACAAAATCGAAAAATGAAACATATATATATATATATATATATATATATATATATATATATCTGACAACATTCATATTTCTCTCACTTAAACCGTCTTTGACTCCCCTCTCTAAAACTTCTCTCTGTTAATTTTTTAATCCCCACCTTCTCTTCTATTTACCCCTCTCTATAGCTCTAACATTCGTCCCCACTCTCATACTTACACTCTCTCTAAATTTTATTTTTATTTCCTGAGTTGTTTTTTTTCTTCTTTTTTTCTGTTTTCTTTTTGAATTTGTAGGTCTGATGAATTGGATCGTATTTACGATTCAAAGGAATAAATTATGACCATGGAATATTAGTGTTTAAGCCTTTTATTTTATATATATATATATATATATATATATATATATATATATATATGTATGTATATATATATATATATATATATATATACATATATGTGTGTGTGTGTAGATAGATAGATAGATAGATAGATAGATAGATAGATAGATAGATAGATAGATAGATAGATAGATAAGTTCCAGTAATCAGGACTTAGCTAACAACCAACGAGAAAGAAAAATCTAAATTATAAACCATGGAGAAGAAAAAAGGAAACCGTTCCACTTTTTGTCACAACTATGCTTGGTTATTCATATATAATAAAGAAAAGAAATCTGTGGAGAAGGCAACACGAAACCGTTCCACTTTTTGTCACAACTATGCTTGGTTATTCATATATGATAAAGAAAAGGAATCTGTGGAGAAGGCAACACGAAACCGTTCCTCTTTTTGTCTCAACTATGCTTGGTTATTCATATATGATAAAGAAAAGGAATCTGTGGAGAAGGCAACACGAAACCGTTCCACTTTTTGCCTCAACTATGCTTGGTTATTCATATATAATAAAGAAAAGGAATCTGTGGAGAAGGCAACACGAAACCGTTCCTCTTTTTGCCTCAACTATGCTTGGTTATTCATATATGATAAAGAAAAGGAATCTGTGGAGAAGGCAACACAGGAACCGTTCCTCTTTTGCCTCAACTATGCTTGGTTATTCATATATGATAAAGAAAAGGAATCTGTGGAAAAGCAACACGAAGAAACCGTTCCATCTTTTTTGTCTCAACTATGCTTTGGTTATTCATATATGATAAAGAAAAGGAATCTGTGGAGAAGGCAACACGAAACCGTTCCTCTTTTTGCCTCAACTATGCTTGGTTATTCATATATGATAAAGAAAAGGAATCTGTGGAGAAAGCAACACGAAACCGTTCCTTTTTTGCCTCAACTATGTTACCTTGAAATAGTTATTCATATATGATAAAGAAAAGGAATCTGTGGAAGGCAACACGAAACCGTTCCTCTTTTGTCTCAACTATGCTTGTTTTCACGTCTCATGGATATCGACTTGTGAGTCTTGGGGATAATGTAAAATCTAGATGCTGATGTTTGTCGAAAAGGAAGTTCTTAGTATTCAGTCTTGGGGATAATGTGATAAAGAAAAGAATCAAAGGAGATAACGAAAGTGTCACCATCAAGGATCCCTGTTTTGACGTCGAAAAAGTTACCCTTGAAATAGTTTTCACGTCTCATGGATATCGACTTGTGAGTCTTGGGGATAATGTAAAATCAAGATGCTGATGTTTGTCAAAGGAAGTTCTTAGTACGTAGTCAAAGGTGATAAAAGAAAAGAATCAAGGGTGTCACCATCAAGGATCCCTGTTTTGACGTCGAAAAAAAGTTACCCTTTGAAATAGTTTTCACGTCTCATGGATATCGACTTGTGAGGGATATCTTGGGGATAATGTAAAATCTAGATGCTGATGTTTGTCGAAGGAAGTTCTTAGTACGTAGTCAAAGGTGATAAAGAAAAGAATCAAGGGTGTCACCATCAAGGATCCCTGTTTTGACGTCGAAAAAAGTTACCCTTGAAATAGTTTTCACGTCTCATGGATATCGACTTGTGAGTCTTGGGGATAATGTAAAATCTAGATGCTGATGTTTGTCAAAGGAAGTTCTTAGTACGTAGTCGAAAAAAAGGTGATAAAGAAAAGAATCAAGGATGTCACCATCCAGGATCCCTGTTTTGACGTCGAAAAGTTACCCTTGAAATAGTTTTCACGTCTCATGGATATCGACTTGTGAGTCTTGGGGATAATGTAAAATCTAGATGCTGATGTTTGTCAAAGGAAGTTCTTAGTACGTAGTCAAAGGTGATAAAGAAAAGAATCAAGGTGTCACCATCAAGGATCCCTGTTTTGACGTCGAAAAGTTACCCTTGAAATAGTTTTCACGTCTCATGGATATCGACTTGTGAGTCTTGGGGATAATGTAAAATCTAGATGCTGATGTTTGTCAAAGGAAGTTCTTGTATTTGATAAAGAAAAGAATCAAAGGTGTCACCATCAAGGATCCCTGTTTTGACGTCGAAAAGTTACCCTTGAAATAGTTTTCACGTCTCATGGATATCGAGTGAGTCTTGGGATAATGTAAAAAAAAGATGCTGATGTTTGTCGAAGGAAGTTCTTAGTACGTAGTCAAAGGTGATAATAAAAAAAAGAATTTGTCACCATCAAGGATCCCTGTTTTGACGTCGAAAAAGTTACCCTTGAAATAGTTTTCACGTCTCAGGGATATCGAATTGTGAGTCTTGGGGATAATGTAAAATCAAGATGCTGATGTTTGTCAAAGGAAGTTCTTAGTACGTAGTCAAAGGTGATAAAGAAAAGAATCAAAGGGTGTCACCATCAAGGATCCCTGTTTTGACGTCGAAAAGTTACCCTTGAAATAGTTTTCACGTCTCATGGATATCGACTTGTGAGTCTTGGGGATAATGTAAAATCTAGATGCTGATGTTTGTCGAAGGAAGTTCTTAGTACGTAGTCAAAGGTGATAAAGAAAAGAATCAAGGCTGTCACCATCAGGATCCCTGTTTTGACGTTACCTTGAAAAGTTTTCAGGTCTCATGGATATCGACTTGTGAGTCTTGGGGATAATTTAAAATCAAGATGCTGATGTTTGTCGAAAATAGTTTTCAGGTCTCATGGATATCGAAAAAGTTACTTGAAATGAGTCTCATGGATATAATGTAAAATCTAGATGCTGATGTTTGTCAAAGGAAGTTCTTATTACGTAGTCAAAGGTGATAAAGAAAAGAATCAAGGGTGTCACCATCAAGGATCCCTGATTTGACGTCGAAAAAGTTACCCTTGAAATAGTTTTCACGTCTCAGGGATATCGACTTGTGAGTCTTGGGGATAATGTAAAATCAAGATGCTGATGTTTGTCAAAGGAAGTTCTTAGTACGTAGTCAAAGGTAATAAAGAAAAGAATCAATGGTGTCACCATCAACGATCCCTGTTTTGACGTCGAAAAAGTTACCCTTGAAATAGTTTTCACGTCTCAGGGATATCGACTTGTGAGTCTTGGGGATAATGTAAAATCAAGATGCTGATGTTTGTCAAAGGAAGTTCTTAGTACGTAGTCAAAGGTGATAAAGAAAAGAATCAAGGGTGTCACCATCAAGGATCCCTGTTTTGACGTCGAAAAACGTCTCATGGATTACCTTGGGGATTGTAAAAAATATGTTTTCAGGAAGTTCTTAGTCTCAAAGGTGATAAAGAATGGATATCGACTGTTTTGTGAGTCTTGGGGATAATATAAAATCTAGATAATGATGTTTGTCGAAGGAAGTTCTTAGTACGTAGTCAAAGGTGATAAAGAAAAGAATCAAGGGTGCCACGATCTAGGATCCCTGTTTTGACGTCGAAAAAGTTACCCTTGAAATAGTTTTCACGTCTCATGGATATCGACTTGTGAGTCTTGGGGATAATGTAAAATCAAGATGCTGATGTTTGTCAAAGGAAGTTCTTAGTACGTAGTCAAAGGTGATAAAGAAAAGAATCAAGGGTGTCACCATCAGGATCCCTGTTTTGACGTCGAAAAAGTTACCCTTGAAATAGTTTTCACGTCTCATGGATATCGACTTGTGAGTCTTGTTTGGGATAATGATAAAGAAAAAATCAAGATGATCCCTGTTTGATGTTTCGAAAAGTTACCTTGGAAGTTTTTCTTATGGATATCGTAGTCTTGGGGATAATGTAAAAAAGGTGATAAAGAAAAAAATAAAGAAAAGTGTCACCATCCAGGATCCCTGTTTTGACGTCGAAAAAAGTTACCCTTGAAATAGTTTTCACGTCTCATGGATATCGACTTGTGAGTCTTGGGGATAATGTAAAATCTAGATGCTGATGTTTGTCAAAGGAAGTTCTTAGTACGTAGTCAAAGGTGATAAAGAAAAGAATCAAGGGTGTCACCATCAAGGATCCCTGTTTTGACGTCGAAAAAGTTACCCTTGAAATAGTTTTCACGTCTCATGGATATCGACTTGTGAGTCTTGGGGATAATGTAAAATCTAGATGCTGATGTTTGTCGAAGGAAGTTCTTAGTACGTAGTCAAAGGTGATAAAGAAAAGAATCAAGGGTGTCACCATCAAGGATCCCTGTTTTGACGTCGAAAAAGTTACCCTTGAAATAGTTTTCACGTCTCAGGGATATCGACTTGTGAGTCTTGGGGATAATGTAAAATCAAGATGATGATGTTTGTCAAAGGAAGTTCTTAGTACGTAGTCAAAGGTGATAAAGTAAAGAATCAAGGGTGTCACCATCAAGGATCGCTGTTTTGACGTCGAAAAAGTTACCCTTGAAATAGTTTTCACGTCTCATGGATATCGACTTGTGAGTCTTGGGGATAATGTAAAATCTAGATGCTGATGTTTGTCGAAGGAAGTTCTACGTAGTACGGTGATAAAGAAAAGAGTCAAAGGTTTTGATAAAGTTAAAAGAAGTTTTCAGGTCTCATGGATACCATGAGTCTTGGGGATAAGGATCCCTGATGTTTTGACGTCGAAAAGAAAATGGTTCACCATCCCTGTTTTGACGTCGAAAAGTTTGAAATAGTTTTCACGTCTCATGGATATCGACTTGTGAGTCTTGGGGATAATGTAAAATCAAGATGCTGATGTTTGTCAAAGGAAGTTCTTAGTACGTAGTCAAAGGTGATAAAGAAAAGAATCAAAGGTGTCACCATCAAGGATCCCTGTTTTGACGTCGAAAAGTTACCCTTGAAATAGTTTTTTTCATGGTCTCAGTCTTGGGGATATCGACTGATGTTTGTCGAAGGAAGTTCTTAGTCTTGATAAAGGGATAATGTAAAATCCCTGTTTTGAGATGCTTTGATGTTTGTCGACTTGTGAGTCTTGGGGAAGTAAAATTAGTATGATGTTTGTCAAAGTTCTTAGTACGTAGTCAAAGGTGATAAAGAAAAGAATCAAGGGTGTCACCATCAAGGATCCCTGTTTTGACGTCGAAAAAGTTACCCTTGAAATAGTTTTTTCAGGTCTCATGGATATCGACTTGTGAGTCTTGGGGATAATGTAAAATCAAGATGCTGATGTTTGTCAAAGGAAGTTCTTAGTACGTAGTCAAAGGTGATAAAGAAAAGAATCAATGGTGTCAACATCAAGGATCGCTGTTTTGACGTCGAAAAAGTTACCCTTGAAATAGTTTTTACGTCTCATAGATATCGACTTGTGAGTCTTGGGGATAATGTAAAATCAAGATGCTGATGTTTGTCAAAGGAAGTTCTTAGTACGTAGTCAAAGGTGATAAAGAAAAGAATCAAGGGTGTCACCATCAAGGATCCCTGTTTTGACGTCGAAAAAGTTACCCTTGAAATAGTTTTCACGTCTCATGGATATCGACTTGTGAGTCTTGGGGATAATGTAAAATCTAGATGCTGATGTTTGTCAAAGGAAGTTCTTAGTACGTAGTCAAAGGTGATAAAGAAAAGAATCAAGGGTGTCACCATCAAGGATCCCTGTTTTGACGTCGAAAAAGTTACCCTTGAAATAGTTTTCACGTCTCATGGATATCGACTTGTGAGTCTTGGGGATAATGTAAAATCAAGATGCTGATGTTTGTCAAAAGGAAGTTCTTAGTACGTAGTCAAAGGAGATAAAGAAAAGAATCAATGGTGTCACCATCAACGATCCCTGTTTTGACGTCGAAAAAGTTACCCTTGAAATAGTTTTCACGTCTCATGGATATCGACTTGTGAGTCTTGGGGATAATGTAAAATCTAGATGCTGATGTTTGTCAAAGGAAGTTCTTAGTACGTAGTCAAAGGTGATAAAGAAAAGAATCAAAGGTGTGTCACCATCAAGGATCCCTGTTTTGACGTCGAAAAAGTTACCCTTGAAATAGTTTTCACGTCTCATGGATATCGACTTGTGAGTCTTGGGGATAATGTAAAATCTAGATGCTGATGTTTGTCGAAGGAAGTTCTTAGTACGTAGTCAAAGGTGATAAAGAAAAAAGAATCAAGGGTGTCACCATCAAGGATCCCTGTTTTTGACGTCGAAAAAGGGTTACCCTTGAAATAGTTTTGTTTGTCTCATGGATATCGACTTGTGAGTCTTGGGGATAATGTTTTAAAATCAAGATGCTGATGTTTGTCAAAGGAAGTTCTTAGTACGTAGTCAAAGGTGATAAAGAAAAGAATCAAGGGTGTCACCATCAAGGATCCCTGTTTTGACGTCGAAAAAGTTACCCTTGAAATAGTTTTCACGTCTCATGGATATCGACTTGTGAGTCTTGGGGATAATGTAAAAATCTAGATGCTGATGTTTGTCAAAGGAAGTTCTTAGTACGTAGTCAAAGGTGATAAAGAAAAGAATCAAGGGTGTCACCATCAAGGATCCCTGTTTTGACGTCGAAAAAGTTACCCTTGAAATAGTTTTCACGTCTCATGGATATCGACTTGTGAGTCTTGGGGATAATGTAAAAATCTAGATGCTGATGTTTGTCAAAGGAAGTTCTTAGTACGTAGTCAAAGGTGATAAAGAAAAGAATCAAGGTGTCACCATCCAGGATCCCTGTTTTGACGTCGAAAAAGTTACCCTTGAAATAGTTTTCAGAGTCTTGGGGATAAAATCAAGACTGATGTTTGTCGAAGGAGTCTTGGGGATCAAATGTAAAGAAAAAATCAAGATGTCACCATGATGTTTGTCGAAAAAGTTAAGAAATAGTTTTCTTAGGGATATCGACGTGAGTCTTGGGGATAAAGGTGATAAATGCTGAAAAGAAGTTCAACGTAGTCAAAGGTGATAAAGAAAGAATCAAGGATCCAAGGATGTTTTGACGTCGAAAAAGTTACCCTTGAAATAGTTTTCACGTCTCATGGATATCGACTTGTGAGTCTTGGGGATAATGTAAAAATCTAGATGCTGATGTTTGTCAAAGGAAGTTCTTAGTACGTAGTCAAAGGTGATAAAGAAAAGAATCAAAGGGTGTCACCATCAAGGATCCCTGTTTTGACGTCGAAAAGTTACCCTTGAAATAGTTTTCACGTCTCATGGATATCGACTTGTGAGTCTTGGGGATAATGTAAAATCTAGATGCTGATGTTTGTCAAAGGAAGTTCTTAGTACGTAGTCAAAGGTGATAAAGAAAAGAATCAATGGTGTCACCATCCAGGATCCCTGTTTTGACGTCGAAAAAGTTACCCTTGAAATAGTTTTCACGTCTCATGGATATCGACTTGTGAGTCTTGGGGATAATGTAAAATCAAATGATGTTTGTCGAAGGAAGTTCTTAGTACGTAGTCAAAGGGATAAAGAAAAGAATCAATGGTGTCACCATCCAGGATCCCTGTTTTGACGTCGGTTACCCTTGAAATAGTTTTCACGTCTCATGGATATCGACTTGTGAGTCTTGGGGGATAATGTAAAATCAAGATGCTGATGTTTGTCAAAGGAAGTTCTTAGTACGTAGTCAAAGGTGATAAAGAAAAGAATCAAAGGGTGTCACCATCAAGGATCCCTGTTTTGACGTCGAAAAAGTTTTACCCTTGAAATAGTTTTCAGTCTCAGGGATATCGACCAGAGTCTTGGGGATAATGTAAAATCTAGATGCTGATGTTTGTCGAAAAGGAAGTTCTTATGGTACGTAGTCAAAGGTGATAAAGAAAAGAATCAAGGGTGTCACCATCAAGGATCCCTGTTTTGACGTCGAAAAAGTTACCCTTGAAATAGTTTTCACGTCTCATGGATATCGACTTGTGAGTCTTGGGGATAATGTAAAATCTAGATGCTGATGTTTGTCAAAGGAAGTTCTTAGTACGTAGTCAAAGGTGATAAAGAAAAGAATCAAGGGTGTCACCATCAAGGATCCCTGTTTTGACGTCGAAAAAAGTTACCTTGAAATAGTTTGAAATAGTTTTTTCACGTCTCATGGATATCGACTTGTGAGTCTTGGGGATAATGTAAAATCAAGATGCTGATGTTTGTCAAAGGAAGTTCTTAGTACGTAGTCAAAGGTGATAAAGAAAAGAATCAAGGGTGTCACCATCAAGGATCCCTGTTTTGACGTAAAAAAGTTACCCTTGAAATAGTTTTCACGTCTCATGGATATCGACTTGTGAGTCTTGGGGATAATGTAAAATCTAGATGCTGATGTTTGTCAAAGGAAGTTCTTAGTACGTAGTCAAAGGTGATAAAGAAAACCCTTGAAAAAGTTTTCACGTGTCAGGGTGTCACCATCCAGGATCCCTGTTTTGACGTCGAAAAAGTTACCCTTGAAATAGTTTTCGTCTCATGGATATCGACTTGTGAGTCTTGGGGATAATGTAAAATCTAGATGCTGATGTTTGTCGAAGGAAGTTCTTAGTACGTAGTCAAAGGTGATAAAAAAAAAAGAATCAAGGGTGTCACCATCAAGGATCCCTGTTTTGACGTCGAAAAAGTTACCCTGAAATAGTTTTCACGTCTCATGGATATCGACTTGTGAGTCTTGGGGATAATGTAAAATCTAGATAGATGCTGATGTTTGTCACCAAGGAAGTTCTTGAAAGTTTACGTCATGGATATCGAGTCTTGGGGATAAAAGATGTTTGATAAAGAAAAGAATCAAGGTGATAAAGCTGTCACCATCAGGATCCCTGATTTGACGTCGAAAAAGTTACCCTTGAAATAGTTTTCACGTCTCATGGATATCGACTTGTGAGTCTTGGGGATAATGTAAAATCTAGATGCTGATGTTTGTCAAAGGAAGTTCTTAGTACGTAGTCAAAGGTGATAAAGAAAAGAATCAAGGTGTCACCATCAAGGATCACTGTTTTGACGTCGAAAAAGTTACCCTTGAAATAGTTTTCACGTCTCATGGATATCGACTTGTGAGTCTTGGGGATAATGTAAAATCTAGATGCTGATGTTTGTCGAAGGAAGTTCTTAGTACGTAGTCAAAGGTGATAAAAAAAAAAGAATCAATGGTGTCACCATCAAGGATCCCTGTTTTGACGTCGAAAAAGTTACCCTTGAAATAGTTTTTCAGGTCTCATGGATATCGACTTGTGAGTCTTGGGGATAATGTAAAATCAAGATGCTGATGTTTGTCAAAGGAAGTTCTAGTAGTAAAGAAAAAACGTAGGGTGTCACCAAGGATCCCTGTTTTGACGTCGAAAAAGTTAAAATAGAATCATGGATATCGACTTGTGAGTCTTGGGGATAATGTAAAATCTAGATGGATCGAAAGGAAGTTTTGACGTCAAGGTGATAAAGAAAAGAAAAGTTCAAGGATCCCTGTTTTGACGTCGAAAAACCCTTGAAATAGTTTCACGTCTCATGGATATCGACTTGTGAGTCTTGGGGATAATGTAAAATCTAGATGCTGATGTTTGTCAAAGGAAGTTCTTAGTACGTAGTCAAAGGTGATAAAGAAAAGAATCAAGGGTGTCACCATCAAGGATCCCTGTTTTGACGTCGAAAAAAGTTACCCTTGAAATAGTTTTCACGTCTCATGGATATCGACTTGTGAGTCTTGGGGATAATGTAAAATCTAGATGCTGATGTTTGTCAAAGGAAGTTCTTAG